CGAAACATATAATTACATTTACTCTACAATAGGCCTCAAAAAAGGAGGAATTAGAAATAAAATCAATTCAAAAGATAGTCTACTATATTTAGATACAAGGGGTACGGAGTACTCATAACCAACCTTGGAAATGGTCAAATAGTCAAAACAGGCAGTTGACAACGAGTTTCCCCCCACAAACCAATTCCACTTTGTGGGGGGTTCTATACACGTGATATCGTGATGACTAAGTTAATTTAATAAAAAAAGGAGTGTAGCCATGTCGGCTGCCCATTTACCGTCAATTAGCATTGTGTAGTATGAAAACCTATACCCAAGTCCTTTCTGCTTTTTGGTGGATTTTTATATTTACTACATAGTATCTTTCACTCTAACAACCAAAATACATACCCAATTCTATAAATTGGATATACTTCTGCAGATTTTAAAATTATGTATTATGTAATCAACTAGTACCAGAGTAAACATTCAGGACATTCTTGTTTTTTTCCACCCTCGCTCCTTTTTACCTTCGGCCATTTCTCTCCTTGCCCTCAATTGCAGTCGGAACCTTGGTCTTCAGATTAAGCGACCATGACTTTAACCCGCTCTCAAACGGGGAAGACCCCCAAGTGAGTAGTTTCCACCGGATCTTAGTTACGACGTATCCACACCCTGAATCCTCCTTATATCTTGCCAATTCCCGGCACTTTTGGCTTGTATATAGTAGTCTTTTTGTGAAGCTAATTTGGAATCCTTTCTTCCTCCAGAAAAATGGATCGCCCTGGCTTCATTGAGACCCCCGGCGGCCGACGCGCCACTCGCAACAGTTCTGTCTTCGATGGTACCGAGAATGAGGCCTCCCCCTCCCCCTCTCTAGAGAGATCCAAGTCTGCCTCCCGTCGTCGTACATCGAACAAAGTCAAGACTGAAGAGGAAGATACGTCGATGAAGGCCACCAATGGCAAGACTACCACCTCGAAGCCCAAGTCTGCATCACGCTTGGTGGACGGTTGGGAGGAAGGCCTCGATCCCAAGGTGGATTACAGTGGACATTTTGAATTCGGTGGCTCCTTGGGTGTGCTGTCCATGATGATCGGATTCCCCATGCTCATGTACTACATGTGGATTGGTGCTACCTACTACGACGGCAAGTTCCCTCGCCCTGCAGAGAACCAGAGTTACGGCGACTTTTTCGCACACTTGGCCAACCTGGTCTACACCGGTGCTTTCCCATCGGTTAAGGCATGGACTATCTACTGGGTTTTCTTCATCTTCGAGGGTGTCTGCTACGTGCTTCTTCCCGGTGTTACCGTCTCGGGTCGCCCCCTGCCACACATGGGTGGCAAGCAGCTGCCATATTACTGTTCTGGTGTGTGGTCTTTCTACACCAGCATTGCATTGGCACTCATTGCGCACGTAACTGGGGTCTTCAAGCTGTACACCATCATTGATGAGTTCGGCCCTCTGCTCACCGTCGCCATCCTGTCTGGATATATCGTCTCTTTCATTGCCTACTTCTCGGCTTTGGCTCGTGGCGCTGAGCACCGTATGACTGGCTACCCGATCTATGACTTCTTTATGGGTGCCGAGCTCAACCCCCGGATGTTCAAGATCCTCGACTTCAAGATGTTCTTCGAGGTCCGCCTGCCCTGGTATATCCTGCTGGGCCTGTCTATGGGCGCCGCTGCCCGCCAATGGGAGATGTATGGTTATGTGTCTGGCGAGGTCATGTTCCTTGTCATGGCTCATTACCTTTACGCCAATGCCTGCTCCAAGGGTGAGGAATGCATTGTTTCCACCTGGTAAGGGTATCTGCTGCCCCATACTTGAGATTATTTTCTAACTGTTTGCAGGGATATGTACTACGAGAAGTGGGGCTTCATGCTCATCTTCTGGAATTTGGCCGGTGTGCCTTTGAGCTACTGCCACTGCACAATTTACCTCGCTAACCACGACCCTGCTGAATACCGCTGGAACCGCTACTTCCTTGCCTTCCTATTCGCTGCCTACCTGTTCGTCTACTGGGTGTGGGATACTACTAATAGCCAGAAGAACCGTTTCCGTCAGCAGGAGCGTGGTACTATGGTGTCCCGCAACACCTTCCCTCAGCTTCCTTGGCAAACATTGAAGAACCCCAAGACTCTTACTGCGGCCGATGGCTCAAAGATTCTTGTGGATGGGTGGTGTAAGTTCATGCCAACTATCAAAAATCCTGCGAGCTTCGATACTAACAACCGTATAGATGGCAAGGCCCGCAAGATCCACTACTCATGCGATCTTTACTTCGCTCTAAACTGGGGCTTGATTACCGGCTTCTCAAGCCCGTTCCCTTGGTTCTACCCTGTCTTCTTCGCCTGCATGATCAGCCACCGCGCTCTTCGTGATATCCAGCGGTGTCGCACCAAGTACGGGGAAACTTGGCTCGAATATGAACGTCAGGTGCCTTACCTGTTCATTCCTGTGAGTGATTTGTTCTTGAAAATCTTCTCGGTGCCTGTGGCTAACCTTTTGTATTATAGTACATCTTCTAATCGCAGCCAGCTGCTTTCCTTTGGACCCATTTTGGAGGCTCGGTAGTTGGGAGCCCAGGGGATTTTTCTTCTTTAGCAAACAATTTTGGTGTATTATATGTATAAAAGACAATGTCAAATAGATTATTAATACCTGCACCGATCATGAAGCAAGACGTTCTGGCCATCTCATGGCCTCTTTGACTTATCTGACATCCACCGCTATGAGTTTTATGCTTTTTTTTTTGTACAACTGGGACGAGTCACCTGGATTTTTGAAGTTGATCCATATGTGAAGATATTTGCTGTTTAATTCAATTGATATTCACTATATTAAAAGACGATCCATCTATGTTGAAATTGTTGGCCAGTATCAGCACATGACTGCCCCGCGTGTGTTATCGATAATGTTTTCGCGCCTTGATATCTTTCAATTGACTTCTCGATTCTATTCCAACATATTTATCTATTGAAAAAAAAGAAAAGAAAACACCATGCTGATCCAAGAATCCTACCATGACGTTCCTACCAAAGCGGATGGACAGGGGACGATGCGTATGTACACTATGGTCTCTCTCGTACAGCACATTTATCCCCTCTATAAATCCATTGCTCCTTCATAATGTCAATTTTAACAATTTAACAGGCATCTATGTCTTCCACCCAACAATCCCGGGCTACCCCAAAGCCCGCTTTCCTGGAGTCGTAGTTTTCAGCGAGATCTACCAAGGTTCGTGCCTCTTGCAGTGTGATCATGGCCGAACACCTCAACTAAAGATCCTGAACCCACAGTAACGGGCCCAGTGGCACGTTTTGCACGCCAGATTGCAGGCCAGGGCTACATCTGTGCTGCTCCTTCGAGCTACCATGAATTCACTGGTCCGGAACCTCTGAAGTATGACGCAGAGGACACAGACAAGGGGAATGCATGGAAGATCGGCAAAGTAAGTGGAATATACAGCTTCCCTGAATACGTGATTTACTTGCGTTTTCCATTTTGTTTCTTTATTGGGCTGTTGTGTCAATTTTCGGGGCTAACTGTCTATTAGAAACTTGCCGCTTATGATGAAGACGCTAGTCTCAGCGTGGATTATCTCCTCTCGCTGCCCACTTGCAATGGTCGAGTTGGTGCCACCGGTATGTGTCTAGGTGGCCATCTGGCCTATCGTTGCGCGCTGGATAGCCGGGTCAAAGCGAGCGTGTGTTACTTTGCTACGGATATACACAGCAAGACCCTTGCCCTGGGCAAGAACGATGATAGTTTAGAGAGAGCAGGGGATATCAAGGGTGAGATGCTAATGGTATGTCTGGGGATTCTTTTTCTTTCTATTGTTTCCATTTGGGTCAATTGCTGCTAAACACAATTATTCTTTAGATCTTTGGCAAAAATGATAACCACGTCCCGCCCGAGGGCCGCGATCTCATCCGCAAGACCCTGCATGACAAGAACGTCCTGTTCAGTTTCTATGAAGTCGCGTGGGCGCAACGTGAGTTGAACTCGTCTCTTAACACAAACACAAATATGCTGACAATATTTATTCAGATGCATTCATCCGTGATGAGCTCAGCAAGGGTCGATATGATCCAGCTATCACCAAGGTCTGCTTTGAGATGCTGCTTGAGCTGTTTGGGCGCACCTTGAAGCTTGATCTGGGTGAGCATGATGGACAAAAATTGGTGATCGAGGATGTGTGTTAAGTTATGTTCGAGTAATCCTGCATGTAGTACGTTACAGAAGAAGGGGCTGATTTCTAAAATTGAATGTGAAATGGAATCATTTCCAACTGGACTAGATCGAGCTAAGGGGTATACTTATCTATGATTCCTACATACTCCGTAGAGGGACAGAGTAACAATACAGCAGGCACAGAACATGACGACATATCTCAATGGTCCAAGCATAGAAATGAGCTCAGAGGGTCGTCTATGTATAAAACTAAATATTGTGGCTTGAGTCCTGGTCGACCTGGCGACCATATATTATTGTCTCCAGCAAGGGTCAAGATAAACCCATTTTCACACAAAAAAGAAAAAGAATCTGTGTTTATGGAGATGTTCATAAGATAAAGAAGTTATACTCTTTCTCCGTATATTCTCCGTACAAATCCCATTCCTCCATACCTCCATACCTCCAGGGCTCCAGGGCTGAGCAGTCCGCTTAACTAAGGCGGGAGTGTACTATTATTAGTTACTTGACCCAAAGGAACCAAGTTGAATTGTTTATGATTTTTTGATATTAAACTTGAAAACTTGAAAAGTTCAGAAACGTTTTTTTATTTTTATTTTTTCTTTTTCAACTTAGCGTGCAGCTTTGGAGTCCCCCGAGTAACCCGTGGGGATCTTGACTTAGTCCCCCTCACAGTTCTTTTTGCCTTGGCTACACAGATTTACTTCTTTCTACCTCAACTCTTTGGTTTCACTATCCTATCTGGACTGGCTCTCCATCTTTAACTCTCCAGTCCCTTTGTCAACTCTCACATCTTTTCCTTGAATCGGTCTCAATTCAAAATGGGGTCCACTCAATTCGGGAACTTCCACGTAAGTGCAGATCGACCTGGAGACCCAATGGGCAGATACTGACCGCACACCCGTATGGGTATCACAGAACTTCTGTCGCGACTCAACCCTACCAGTTTGCAATGTGAGATCTTTTTGACAGGACCCCATGGAATTGTCAACTGACTATATGTCGCGTACAGCTTTTCACCAATGAAACCGCGACTGCTGCCTTCCACGCGTGCGATCTGACCGGCATTCCTCTCAGTGGGGACAGACACCTTCGGAATTTAGGTACGATCCGCGAAGCCGCCGATGCGATTGGGGACAAATGATATGAGCATGATTGCTGATTGGGAATAGGTTCAATTCTGTTGGCCTTCATTGCCATTGTCTTGACTGTGGGTATGATATGGAGATCGGACAAGAAGCACGCTGCCGTCGGCCGGAGGTATGAGATGTCTTTGTTCCCTATGGAAATATGAACTGACATGGAGGTGTATGCAGGGAAATGCAATTATTTTTGCTCGGTTTCATCATCATTGAGATCTGCGAGATCTTCACAGTGGGTGGCTTCCCACTGAACGATGCAGTCCGAAAGGTAGGGTTCCTACAGGATAGACACAAGGTCTCGACTGACGGAAGTATCTAGGGATTTTCCGCGGTACATATTGCCGCGATCACTGCTACTTGCTGGGTCCTTCTCTTGAACGCACTCGTAGGCTTCCAGTTGCTTGACGACGGTACAGCAGCTTCTATCGGTCTCATCTGCGCATCTGCTGCCGCCCTCTTTATCGGGACTGGCTATATTGCCTTGGACACCGGATTCGATTGGACTGGTCGTTTCCAGTCAAGCCATGAGCCACCCAATCGCAATATCGCCCTCTATGTTCTGTACCAGCTTTTCCCACTCGTCTGCCTTGTCTTGTTCTACCTCCTGGAAGCTGTACTAGTGCTCCGGGTCCTGGGCGAGTTCCGGCCAATGCGTAAGTACACCATGCTGGACTCGAAATAAACGTGTGCTAACGATGCAACAGTGTATCTCACCGGCGCTGGCTTGTTGTTTGCAATTGGTCAGATCTTCAATTATGTGATCAGCACGCATCTGTGCCAGGCCTCGGATGGCAAGATCAATGGAGCCTTATTTGAAACTCTCTTCACCCTCCTTTCTGTCTCCGGGGTCTGGGCCTTCTGGAGCAGCATCACTGAAGATGACTGGCCTCTACCCGTGGGTGGTGGTGGTTACAACTGATTTGATAATTATGCCCTTTTGCGTTATCTGTGACTTTGCCTCGGTCAGTTTCTTGCGAATTTCAACGTCGCTAATTATTTCTCAGCCATACATAACTTTATTCACGCTTGTTTACGAATCTTGATCTTGAACTGGGATCGTCGACATTGTGATACCCCCATTTCCTTGAGTCATGTTTCACGATTCACCTGCCATCTCTTACCTTAGCGGCGGTTATCATGCCTTGCGTTATGACTCGTTCCAGCCCCTCTATGTTTTATGAATTCAATTGCGAGAGATACGATTTGCCAGTCGAGCTACTGATCGACTACTTTCCCATCGGTATTTACCCGTGATTTTGTTTTTTTATGGCAGATATCTCCTTGCCATGTACTTAGTGTAACCTATGTCAAATAATCGACTTGAGCTCGCTTTTTTCGAGTTCATCATTAACTAAAAGAGCCGATTCCCACTCCCCAGATTCAAATCAGTCATGGGGCTTTTGTGCAAACACCCCTCAGCTCTCTTATATCGGGTAGGTAGTATCTGATGCTCCCTGCCCAACCCTGATACATAAATTGGGGAAAGACGAGCCTTCTAATGCGACTCAGTGTGACCACAATGCTAATTTTCATTTCGCTCCATATGACAATTTACCAATTGGCCGCCAATGTGACATTCATATCGAGGACTAGCTGTCCATCTCTTGTGCCCCGGACAATCTAAAGCTTCGGTGTATATAATAAGCAACTATATAATTACAAAAAGAATAGGGTAACCCTCTATCTCTTTATAACAATACTAAATTTGAGCCTGTGTCTATCCCTCTCATTCTCTTTTTCCAATTATCTGCAAAGGTTCTTGAATATGCGTTTTAACATAGCCGCTCTAGTCCTCGCCTCGGGGTTGACCACAGCTGCAGGAATAGCTCCTGTGGGCAATAATACACAACCCCAAACCTCTCGTACATATCCCTTTTATAACCTCAATTATTCGACAATTTGGCTAAACTAGCACTGATACGAGGCATATAGTTCAGCAACAAAATCTAGAGATAGTCCGGCATCTCCCAGAGGCGTGTAGTATCGCTGCTTGTCTCAATTTGGCAGCCCAGCTTACGTGCATTGCCAATGCTATTACCAATGGTGATCCGGTTGCTATGCAGAAGTGTATAACAACTTACTTGAATCAGGTATATTCCTTTGTCTTCATCGAGCTTTAGGAACAAAGACTAAGATCTGAGTCTAGCTCTGCTCATGTGGTGCTTGCTATCCATCGATTCTCAATATGCTTATTCAACTCGGTATATGTCCGGTCACAAATAATGAGCACGGTGATGAGCCTTCTTCTAGGTAATTGCCATGAGGCTCTCGGCCACACGATGGTTAGGGATATTGTTGCCGGTTATAGGTTAGGCTTTTGGTTAGTCCTTAGTGCACGTAGCAGGCAGGAATTCTAGCTGTCTCTCTGCTTTTTCTGCCTTTCTCGAGGTCAGGGTATACTTAGTATGAGGGACACATGGGTAAAGGCCACGCTAAGGCCAAACGACGTCTTCCCCTTCAAGTCAATTATTGCATGATGTCTTATATAGCTACCACCACCTGGGTTTGGTTACAACGGCAGGAGGATTTGTATATCCAATAGAAAGCCATTCAACGATTGACACGTTACTATAGAATGGGTTATGTACAATAGTTGTTCATAAGTGTTCAAGGATATCGAGATACGAAAAACACACAAGTCGTAAATAATGTATATGAAATCAAAAGCTCATCTGAATACAACAGAGGAAGGATACCAAAATCAAAACTTTTTGCACACTTCATAGTCGAACTTTGACATCAACGCATGGAAGCGTCCACTCCCGCCTCCCCAAGAGGCTGCGCATCCACTCCAACCCAACTCCTGTCCACTCGTTCGGCCTTGATTCAATGCCATTGGAAGAAAGTCGTTGCTGAACGCCTTCAAATGCAGCCCCAGCCAAGGCCTTGGCAGTGGAGTTCATAGTATCGAAAACAAATTCCGTCAGACCCTCGCCAGACACTGTTGCTTCAGAGGTTGTGTTGCCCGAGATGGCATAATCGCTAGATTCCGAGGTATAGCGTGGTGCAAACCAATTACTCCGTAGATCAAAGATGCACCGGTCTGACCAATGACATGACGAGACGAAGAGGATCAAGAGTAACGCGGAGCAGTAGATACATGGCCGGTGAATGATGTATGTCAAGGCAACAAACGAGATGATGAAAAGCGGGGAGGCGTTGGTCGGGATGAAAAGAAGTGGCAGCCAGCTATAGTATGACAATTTGGGTTAGTCTTAATCATCTGCTTTGTTGCTGATTGCTTGCTTCTCTTACCTTCGTAGACAGAACATGATGGGGTTTGCGGGCGCTGGCCTTCTGGCGGAAGGGTACAGACAGATGGACGAAAGTGTCGTTTGAATTAATTAGAATATTATGATAGTCTAATGATCACCACCTTCCAACTCGGTAAATGAAAGTTGGGTCAAAGGAAGTAAAAGTAATCCGATTCACTAAATGACGCGAGTCGGGCAAGAAATAACACTAGCCACGATCCGCCACAAACTCGGCAGCCTCAGCCACACACACGGCTCGAACAATATTACCGAGAGTTCTTCTCTCCTTCACCCTTCCTCTCGACTTCACCACGTTCTCCAATTTCATCTCTCTTTTCTCGCACTTATCTCTGATTTATTCTTTTGTCGCCATTTCTAGCCTTTCTGATTTCCAATTTCATACTCTGTCCCTCTCGAAAGAGAGCTTCTGAGAGCTCTGCAAAGCTTGGATCCTATCGGCGGAGGTCGCCTATAACCACGGCGTAACGGCAGAAATGTCCACCCCCACCGATCTCCAGGCTCTCTTAGCCAGTATCCGGCCTCGTCCTTCTCCTTCTAACACTCCTGGCCAGGATAACCCGCAGGCCCAGCGCCAATCGTATTATCAGCCCGGTCTGTTCCCGCCGCACCCTCAGCAGCAGCAACCTTATGATGGTCAGAGCTACCCTCATCCCCAGTCGCATGGCTACCAGCATCCATCGGTATCCTCGACTATCCAAAGTCCTGCCCCAATGAATGCTCCCCCTCATCAGGGCTCTGATATCTTGAGCCCTAACATGCCTTCTCCTCGGGGTGAATGGCCCCAGCAGCCACAGCCGCAACCGCAGCACACCAACCCAGGCTCTGTGGATCTTTTGAATCTTCTCAGATTCAGCCAGCGTCCCGGCGCTTCCCCCCAGCCGCAAGCACCCGCTGCAGCTCCCGAACACTTGCAGTCTCCGCCGGCCCAGGGAGCTCCTGGGTCGCACGGACGAAATGTTTCCGCGTCTGACTTCGTTGCTACTTTGTTCGGTCAACAGGCCCCGGCTGCGCCTGCTCCCACTGGCCCTCCGGCATTCCACTCTGGTCAGCCCGAGGGCCCCAATGAGAACACACAAGATATGTTGCTTCGCCTGCTCAATCGTTCTCAGCCAGGTCCTGCTGGCGCTGAAACATCGGCGCCGGCTTCATCTAAACAGGCACCATTTATGCAGGCTGTTGTTGATGAACGTCAGAATCAGGCAGCCAAGAATGTCTTCATGGAAGTTGTGGATGAAAGTCCCAAGGCACCTACGAACCCGGAAACGGTCGTATCGCCCAGCTCGAAGGACTCAATGTTCACCTATGTCAATCCATTTGACCAATTGGCAGCCATCTCTCCTGTTAACAAGTCTCCCCGGTCTACCTCTGGCTTCCAGAGCCCAGCTGTTGAAGTCACCCAGAAGCAAAGGATCAATGTTTCTGCTAAGCTAGAGCCTTCGCAGACACCCGAGCTTGCGGCCCCTAGGGAGAGGGTCCAGTCTCCAATTTTGACTGAAGGTCAGAGAGACGCTGTGAATGAAGTCGTCGGTCGTCTCGTAGATGAAATTGGTCGCTCTCTCAGCGGCGACGAGCCCCAGGCTGCAACGGAAGCCAATGCTGCTGTTTCTACTGTGCAGGAGGAATCCTCTGAAGCAGTCCTTTCGTCAATCGCTAGTCATATGCGTGAGACTGCTGCTGAAGCTGTAGAAGCGACAGGCTTGGCCCATGTTGACGAACCCGTGAAGGAGGTTGAATCTCCAGCGGTTCCAGTTGCCCCGAAGGCGGCTGAAAACACTGAGGCTCTTGCTGACAGCTGGGAGAGTGCGGAAGACAGCGCTGAAAAGGAAGAAGAACGAGTTGTCTCTGTTTATAACTTTCCAATGAGGCCCTTCATCTCCATTGCCGTGAAAGCTACGTCCGGAAAGCTTACAACCTTCCGTGATGACGACGTCATGGATATTGCTCGTTTGAAAAAGGAGTTCGATCAGCTTGACCGTTCGTTGACTGCGGCTACATCCGAATACATTGTGTATGCGCTCGCCAAAACCGGTGGAATTAGAATCATTCGACAGGATGACGGTAGTGACCGACAGGTGTTCCGTTCCACCCGCGATCGAGTGTTCAACGTTGCCCTGTGTACAGCTCCTTCGACGGCTGGTGAGTCCGAAGTTCAGGCTATCCTCGGCATCGGAGTCAGCGGCTCGGTATACTGGGCTGTGATCTCGCGTTCTGGGAAGGATTTCTTTGATATGGATGCTTTGGAAAGCGAAAGCTTGATCTTCCCACCTTTCCCGGCCTCAGACGAGAACACCTCTGGTGGCCAGCTGAAAACGCGGGCCAAGCGGAGCACTCGTCACACCAACCTGTTTGCCATTGGTCGGGGCAAGAATATCTACGTTGTTTCGCCAAAGGCAGCAATGACCCCTGCCTATGGCGTTTCTGGTACCCAGCGTACAGTCAACACCGAGAAATTCTTCAAGGAGCGTGCATTGAAGATCTCCACTGGTAAAGCCGGCAAAGACTTTGCTTTTAGTGATGATGATTCCGTCATCGCCTCCTTGGACAAGACTGGCCGGCTGCGCTTCTGGGATATAAATGATATGCTGAATGATGCGAGCCTCGTGGAAGGCCCTGCTCCCGCCGAGATCCGGGTTCCCTTGACTACCTTTGTCACTGGCTCCCCAACTGAAAAGTCCTGGCCCACTTCGGTCCTCTTCCTCGACAAGCTTCGCGCTTATTCGCGATCTATGGCCCTCCGTTACGTTTTGGTCGGACTCAAGCAAAACCACACCTTGCAGCTCTGGGATATTGGGCTGGGCAAGGCCGTGCAGGAGTTGAAGTTCCCGCACGAAAATGAATCCGATGCCATCTGCAGCGTGGCTTATCACCCATCATCAGGTGTCATTGTCGTTGGACATCCCACACGCAACTCTATCTACTTTGCTCATCTTTCGGCTCCTCGATACAATTTGCCTCAGATGTCACAGGCAGCCTACATCCGAGACCTCAACGATAAAGACAACACTCTACCTAAACCCGAGTCTACTGCTTGTTTGAGTGGAATTCGGGAGATCTCTCTCGGTTCCAAGGGGCAGCTAAGAAGCTTGGAGCTCCTACCTATCACCAAGTCCGCTACTGACAAGCGCAGCACTGAGGAGAATCCCCTGTTTGAGCTTTATGTTATGCACTCGCGCGGTGTGACCTGCTTGAATATCAAGAAGGAGGATTTGGGCTGGACGGCGGATAACAAGGTTATCCGCCCTATTGATGCAATGGAGCATGGCTTGATTGAAATCAGCGATCTTCAGACTTTCCCCACATACGCCACCGATGATCCATCTGTCAATGGTGACTCCGCCTCCATCCAGTCTCGCGCCAAGGAGTCTGCGAAAAAGCCAGAGATTGGAGAATTGGCTTCTGGAGTTGCTCCTTCGCGTAATGCATCACCTACCAAGTTGATCAAGAAGAAGGAAGAGCCCAGTGAGCCAGCAGCGGCACCTATCGTGGCTGAGAAGTCTGAAAAGAAGAAGAAGAAGAAGACGGCTGCTGCCGCCGAAGCTGCGAAAGCCAAGGAGCCATCTGTCACTGCCGGTGTCGAATCTTTGCCAGTCCCCTCCGCCGCTGCCAAAGAATTCGAGACTCTTGCCTCTTCTACTGCAGCGATGGGTGCGACTCAGGCTGCCGAGCATGCAGTGCCTGGTCTCGGTCTCTCAAGCGAAGCTTTCAATAGACACATCCAGACCTTGCAGGGCAGCGTTTCAAGCGAGTTTAACAAGAGTCTTGGCCTTGAGTTTGAGAACCTCCACCGTCGCTTCGACGATGAACGTCGTAGCTGGGATGCTGCTTCGTCAGCCAAGCAAGACCAAGTGTTGCGCCTGGTCTCTAGCACGCTCTCTGACAACGTTGAGAAGAACTTGTCGCGTATTGTTTCAGCTAGTATCCAGACCGATGTCATTCCTGTCATCTCTGATGCCACTTCTGCTGCAGTCAACAAGCAACTGAATGGCGCTGTCTCTCAACAACTTGAAGGCGTGTTCAATGAAGAGCTACGACAGGTTCTTCCCAAGGCTATCATCAACGCTATGCAACAGCCACCCGTGGTGAAAGCTGTCTCCGATTCGGTTGCACAGAAGCTTGCACCTCGCATTGAGGCAGAAGTCACCCGGGTCATGCAGTCCTCGATTGCCCCCATGATTGAGAGCTTGGCACGTACCACGCAGAAGGTGGAGTCAGATATGGAACGCCACTTCCAAGCGCAGGTTCAGCAATACGAGGCCCAGCGCCAAAGCGATGCTGCAAAGATCGACGAGATGTCAGCCGTCCTGCGTGGCTTGTCCAAGACCGTTTCTTTGCTGGCCGCGCACCAGGGCCACCAAATTCCACAGAGCCAAAGCCCGCAGCACGAGATCGCCCAGCGCGAGGTCTTGAATGTCAACAAGCGCTCCTCTACTAGACAGCCAAGTGAGAACCACGTGCGCATGCCGCAGCCATTGTCTCAGCCTGTGTTACAAACTCAGGCTATGCCGGCCCCAGCCCCGGTTGCCGCCGTTTCTCCTGTCGCGCGATCCCCCGAGGAAACCGAAATGGGGGATATTGTGCAGCTTATCAATACCGGTCACTTCGAGCAAGGCACTATTAAGGTTGGTTTCGATCACTTCCATATATATTCGATATTCCTACTAACACTAAACTTTCTAGTGGCTCCAATCGAGCCAACAAGCTGACCTGTTTGACAACTTCTTCGTCCACGTATCTCCCACCTACTTGTCCCGACTTTCTGCGATCGTCATGCTCTCCGTGGCTGTTGCTGTCACCAGTACCATGCAAACCAACATTGGCCAGCGCCTCCACTGGCTCGAGGTGGTTCTCCAGAATGTGAATCCCAGGGTATGTCCTTATTCTATTTCAAATTTTGTAACCTGTTCACTAACTCTCTGGCTTTTAGGACACCGACCTCCGGGAAGTCGCACCTCGCATTCTAGATATCATGAGCCAGCGCCTCAATACCCTGTACATGTCAGTCGTTGAGCACAACCCGCATGACCCAATCCTGCGACTTATTTCACCCCTCGCTCGCCGTGCCCGCGAACTGCACGCCAGCTTGTCTTAAATTGCGGTTTTATTCGCCTTTTTGCATGAATTCGGAATCATGATGAGTTCACGATGAGTTCACGATCTCGACGCGGGCCCATCAACGGCGTTATCATTTTGATTTTCAGTATGACGTGTAACGATATCGAACAGAAACACCCAAAAGCATAAAAACACGCATGAATTCAGAGAATGTGGTCTCTGGTTACCCCTTCGGGATGAAATTATCTTAGTTATCAGGTAAACACCTTGGACGAGGTCATGAAGTTTCCTTTAGTCAGGGCATTGTCCGGGCACATTTGATACCAATGCACACTGGATTTGCTATTCTTCGAGGACATCTTCTATAGTCATGACGTGGGTCTAGGGCTTGTAAAACTTTGCATCTCCTGTATCTACTTGTACTCTCGGGTTTTATGGAATGGCGTTATTATGGGACTCTCCTGCCACTTAAATCAAGTGGCTATAGATGCTCTCGGCTCCCAATTCTCGATATCATTTGATATTAGGCCCGAAAAATCCATGAAATCGTTTATGCCCTACTTATAGGTCGGATCATTGTCAATCCGATTGATTCAACACGAATCTGGAATGACAAATGGTGCAATGCTCGCCAACTTCTCATGAGTCTCCATCAGCTCGCGCTCTGGGTTAGACTGAGAGATAACACCAGCTCCAGCTTGGATCCAAGCACGATTCTGATCTTGAAAGACAGTGCGCAAGACAAGTGCAGCTTCAAATTCTAGATCTTCGATCATGATGACAGCACCAGAGTACAGCTCTCTCGGTTGATCCAGGCGCTGAATAGCTTTGAGAGCTGCAAGCTTTGGGATACCAGATGCGGTAATTGATGGGAACACGACATCAAATGCATCCCACATATCTTTCTCAGGTGATAGAATCCCAGTCACACGAGACCCTAGATGTTGTACAGATCCACGCGTTCGGATTGACATCAGATCTTCAACCGTGACTGTATCCCAACAAAGTCGTTGGAGCTCGGTGATGGCTTCTTATACCGACACCACATGCTCTACAATTTCTTTCGGGTCGTTCAGGAGTTCTTTTTGTAGCTTCTCGACCTCTTCTTTGCTGCCTAGGCTGGATCGAGTGCCAGCCAATGGCTCCGTCGTTACCCTTCTATCATTCACTGATACCACCAGCTCGGGGCTAAACCCTGTAGCCTGATAGCCTGCGTGATTCAAGCAGAAACTTCGTGCGGGATTATTAGAACGCCGGCCATTGAGAAGTGTAGCTGGCATATTGACCTTATATGGGATTCCTACTGTGCGAGATGGAATCACTTTGGTGTAATAGCCTGCTGATATGTCGGAGAGAGCATTCTCAACTCTCGCGATGTAATTCTCTTTATCTTCAGTCTGGATGGGTTGAACATCTTGAAAGGTAGATACATCGGTTTGATTCTGGATTGAGTCATAAAGCGCTTTCACTTCTTCCTCGACTCCCTTTATGGTGATTAATTGTTGGTGAAGAACAAGTTCAAGACGTGGAACAAGTAGGGCTAGAAGAGGCCAATTCCCCGGTGTATATTTTTCTCCAATGATATGTGCAGCGTAGTTGAATCCAACTTGGCCGAATATCCTGCCACTCAGGTTGGAAGTAAATTCTCTCGCGATATGTGAAATTGAAGCTCCCTCAATGGAGCGAGAGACTTCACCGGACTCGCTTTTAATCGTCGCGGTTTGTCATTTGGAGTCAATCACTAACGATGACCAACTTCCAATGCCAATATACCAATGTTTCTCGCGCTCATACGCATAATAGTCATCGTTTTTGTGTTTTAATAGCACTTTGACAACAGTTTCTAAGGCATTGGCTTGACTAGTGAAGGTAATTTGAGACATTTGAAGAGATATAAATTCAGTATAAGCTAACTCTCAATATATAAATGTCAGTTCGTGTAACTGGCCCAACATGGTCCAACTCCCATCAGTTGGGCTGTTGGGCCATGTAGTGTAACTACCTCTCATGGGTTATATAGATGCTAAATATGACGGCCTTTGATATTCCAATTCGATTTAGCCCTATATAGACATCCTTTCATTGCCCTCACTTATTCCACAATGGCTCAAGATGGATATATTCTAGGTCGAGCTATTCAAGACTCAGTTAGGTGAGTTGATACTTAAAGGGTCAACCCCTGAATGTTAATGAGAGAGCAGGTTAGATGCACAACATCTACTTTGGAAACTCCATACAGGCTTCGGACTACATCCTGATATCCCAATAACGGAGAACATGAAAATTGCAGAGCTTGGAACTGGAACGGCGTATGTAGTTTATTTTTACTTGATATATACATAACGAAGTTTGGATTAACAGTTAATAGCATCTGGATATTTGACCTTGCAACACAACTTCCGATAGTTCAAATAGATGGATTTGATATTTCCGACAGTTAGTTTCCATTAAAGGAACTATGGCCTCAGAATGTTACACTGGGACTTCTAGACTCTTTGACTGATCCGCCTTCATCTTTATATGGTCAATATGATGTGATACATCTAAGAATGTGGGCTAGCAACCTACGAGGAAATGATCCATCATCATTGTCCCGTCATATCAAGCATCTATTAAGTACATGAACTATATACCTTTACAGATATATAGTATAACTAACGATCCTTAAGAAACCTGGGGGTTATCTACAATGGGAAGATGCCGACTTGGTACACCAACATATCAAGGGTGCGAAAGCTGAAGAATTTGAACGAAATATCAATGAAATATTCAAAAAGGTCAATCTTGACTTTAGGTTTGTTACCTTGTTATTCCAAGAAAGACATTTATTAATATATCTATATATAGTTGGGTTTCGAATTTACCTAGTCACTTGCAGGACTTCAACATTCTCCAATCGGAAAACGGTCGTTTCAAGCCTCAGTTGGTCCAACTATGCACAAACACTTATCTGATGGCTCTTCGTGAAATCCTTCAGGGCATCAAGAGATTACTTCCCAATGATATGTTGTTTTCCAGTACTGAGCAAGAGGTAGCCCTCTATCAACTATCACAAAACAAGAACTGTATTTACAACTGGTCGCCGGTGGTGATATTGGCACAAAAGAAATGAAGGAATGATATATGATTCGAGAAGGTTGGATATTTCAGGGTTATTGACTATGTACACATTTGAATAAATATAAACAATGTCGGGTCCAGCATGTACTGAGACAGCTAAAATATACAAACCCATAGGAAATACCTTCATAATGCTGTTCAAATATAGAAACAATATGCGTATGCATGCTGTCTAAAATGCTGGGCAATCAAAGATATAATGATCGCAACACTTGCTCTACTTAGCAATTGGACGAAACCAAAAGCAAAGCGTACCTAGAGTGATCATATCCTCAGGACTAAAGCTAGGGCTTGTTATCCCCACTTCTAGTCTGATCGATGACGACGTGAACTGATCTCTCTGGTTCGGGCTGAACCAGGTGAACAGGTCTTTCCGGCTCATCATCCTGACCCACGCCGGGCTGGTGGGATGGCGAACGAGGACGGATCACCGAACCACCAATGCCAAAGAATGGGCGAATGTTTGCATTCCGGAATCCACGCTTGCGGCTACGGTAACTCGCATCCTCCCCTGTTGTGAGAGGTGTGGCCGTGCTGTGCGTGTGGCTGGTATTTGATATGGGGACCGGTTCGCGCTCCTCGTATGCGCTAGTGCTAATGACGTTGGAAATAGTTGCCGGGAGGTTATAGCCGGCCTTTCCAATGGGGACTGAGAGTCCATGCACAACCTGGGGTTTGATCAGAAGATGAACAATATAGGATGTAGGGGTTTTCGTTATTTGGGAAGACTCACGATACTGCAAACTACTAGGAACCATACCACGACCTGGACGGTCTCCATGATGTGCTTTATGTCCTCTGAGACTTCACCGTTGACTTGAATCTTGCGTAGGAATTCAAGGCAGACTGATAAGTAGAAGATGGCGCCTACTCCGATAGGACCAAAGAAGCCGACGAATGCAGCCTGGGAGACAAGCTCAATTTGAGGAATCCATTTGTGCATGGCGAAGACAATCGGGAGACGGCGAACTAGGAGAATCAAGATTCCCAGGAAGATGAGCCGATGGATTGGAATCACTTCGTTGTGCAGGAAGGATGACCATGGGCAGACCGCTCCGAACCACATGAACACAGACAGGTTGAGAAGCATGTCGATTGTCGGTTGGAGGGAATCGTCCATGGTTTCAAGTCGGAACCAGTCACTGTCTCGGTTAGCATTCGTGATATCATAGCTCACATCGGGGTGGCCTACTCTTGCGTGAATACATTTCCAGCAATGAAACAGGCAAGAAGATCATCTGTCCCAATCAGACCACAGGTTCCTACGATGAATAGCTATCCGAAAGATTAGCAAAGCGCCTTTTCCTTCTCGCTTTTGAGGTAAACTCACTGCAAGAGCAATGGCAAACACCAAAAAGCTCTCCCGGTCAACATAGCGCTTCTCCTCCGCCCAGTGCAACAACTTCCTCGCAATCCAACCAACCACAGTTCCATAGACCACACTCAGAATAATAGTGTATACCCAGGTCTCATAGAACCATAATGCCATCGCCTTCCCTGCACCACCACTATAGCTCTCGCTTGCCATCCCAGTATACTGGACAAGATAAACCGCAAAGAAAAGGAACGGGTAACCAAGGCCATCATTGGCACCAGACTCAGCGATAATAATCCTCTGCAGCTCACGGGGAACATGCTTATCTGCAAACTTGCCCTTGACAATGGAGTTAGACAGAACGGGGTCGGTTGGGGTGACGCATGCCCCGATAATCAGCGCATGGAGAAACTTCAAGTTTGGAACCATGGCCCAGGTCACTAGGCTACTGCACATCCACATGGCAGCCATGCCTGGTCCGAGGAGTAGCCCTAAGCTCCGCCATTCGATCTGTAGATACCGCTTTGGGAGTTGGACTCCGGCTAGAACTAGCTGCACGCCTAGCACTAGACGGGTAAAGTGCAATGTGATTGCCTCTAGATTTTCTTCTGAGTGTAGTGCATAGTCATCTGGTCTGATGAAATTGGCTGCATGAGGAGAGAATAATACTCCGGCTAGTAGGGAGATTACTATTTCCTATTAGTAAATGGGGTAATACCACCCAGGATTTCAACTTACATGCTTCGGATAGGTAGAACTTCTCCTTGCAAAGGTAGGATACTAGTCCGAAGAGGGAAATAAAACCTCCAAGCGTCGCGCAGACGATATTGAAGTTAATCAAGGCGAGTGTCGGCATTTTGATCTTTGAAATGTTCTGGGTTGTAGCTAAGGGCGATGAAGGCCCAAATCAAGAATTTGGACTCAAAGTGAGTCAGATCAATGAGATCTTAAAGAGTCTTAAGATGTTTGTCAAGTACAAGCAAATGTTATTGAATCATAGTTTGAATTTCCTGTTTGATTGTAGTCAAGATCATCTGAATGTATTGAAATGAAATGAACAAGAGCATTCGTAGGAGTTCTATAGTGAAAATATGAAGATATGAAGATGTGAAGATAAAAAGAATCTCCGAGGTTGTGGGAAACGCCTTAGACTGGTCTTGGCATCTGACACCCGACGATATACGATGATACGGATTTTTACCTATTAAGGATAAAAATAAACAATTGGTATAAATTAAACAATTGGTATAAATTGGATGCAAAAAGATACATAAGACTCTCTTGATTTATTTTTTTACTTAAAAATCTTCTTCAAACACTTCATCAGGTACATCCTCAGCACGCAGCGCCTCTGCCTTGACAGATACCCCTTTCTGGGCTCCATTAACGGCTAATTTATCAGCCTCTTCATTGCCGGCATCTTTATTATGACCTTTGACCCATTCAAATAATGTCTTCACCTTAAGATCATTGCGTTCTTCAATTTTGATCAGAATCGACTCAACCAGATCCTTGTTCTCAACCGGCTTCTTGTCTCGAGTCATCCAATTGTTGCGGCGCCAGTTGATAAACCATACGGTAACACAGTCAATAGAATATCGGCTGTCCGTGATTATGGTTACATCTCGGTGTCGAGGGGCAATATCAATCGCCCGAAGGATTGCAGTTAATTCAGCACGCTGGTTCGTTTGACGACTGCCTTTGAGTGGCTCCGATACGTTTCTGCTGGGATAAGTGACGGAAGTTAGAAAGTATTGGACAGTAGCCTAGGCAAATGTGCGAACCTTGAATCCCCAGGCCCGAAGAATACCCCTACCCCGGCCGACGCTAATGGGGTGCCATTTCTTAATGAACTCCCATCAGTGTATATCCGAAGCATCCCTGGGATACCTGTTGATTGTGGTTTTGTTGCTGCCATTTGGGGGGCGGTCTTGTAGACCACTTTGCCAGTAGCTGGATCTAGGATAACGTTAGGGTCAAACCCATCTTCAGCTCCTGCCGGCAATGGGCCGTCGCCTGGCGCAAACTCGACCCCTTCTGCATCTTTCGGCTTTTCAGTCGTTAACCCATGAGGCCCAGGTCCGGTTGCCACGCCGAACCCGACTGGAGGCTGTGTCTGTCCTTCCCGCACAAACTCCTCTGCCTCTTCGCGGGTGGAGAACTTGCGATACCGAGGTCGCGGAAACCCGCGAATTTGCTCCTGTGCCGTTGTCCAGTCTGTGTATACTCCAGTAACCCGACCCCTTTGGATTCCATAGAATCGTGTGTTCTCCGAGCTCTGCGATGCGGCGGGGAGCTTAATACCGTTCAAAAACGCATTGGCTTCTTCTTGTGAGGGAAACGATTGGACTAAAGAGTGTATGCGTCAGTCTCTGGTCAAATTGGCGCGCCTGTTGGGTGAAATGCGAAAAGCGTACTCACAAATTGCTCCCTTGAATCCCGTTATTTGAGCCAGGCAGTCATTCCACCCATAGTAGATACCCGGTTTATGACCTGCCTTGACAGCGTAATATTTGGCCGTAGCATTTCTCTTGCGCTTGGTGCCTGCGGTCGGCGAGGGAGAGGGTTTCGAGCCTGGCGAAGCTTTGGGGATGGGGCTCGGCGAAGGTGTAGTCTTATTCATCGTGTCGGATTGATCGCTGGGAGTCAATTCAAGGATTTTGGGAGTAGTAAGGGTATGGAATAGGCTCTTGTTGGCCCTTAGGAATTCACGGTTTGTATTCGTGACTGGGCGGACAGGAATAAATCGCGGGCAGCGCAGAAGGGAACACCAAGGTCCCAACTTCAAGGCTGACCAAACACGGCTGTGAATCTTGATCTTTCTGGTGTGTAAATGTGAATGAAAAGAGGTATAGTCGAAGGTCGAGGAATTAGGAATTGAGAAGAGGGGGTGGTGTAGGAATTAAGGGAGGGGGGGACACTCAACTCCAGGGCTAATGCCAGTTGACAATTTCGATACAATTTCGATTTTTGAAGAGACAGTTGAATTTACTTGGATTGACCTATATGTTTGTTCTAATTGAAATGTCCATATATATATTTATATACTGTAGTTACAATATATAATATCTTCTATATATATATAAGCTAAAGCCCGCCCTTCAATCGCTCCAATACCACCCTCACTCCCTTTTGAGTAGACTGTACAACATGTTCAACAGAGACTACCTCATTGATACTTCCAATACTCGCACCTCTGTTAAAATCGTTAACACAGAAAGTTCAAGAGATAAATATGTAGATTCGGGATACTCACGCCCATACAGTCCTCCGTTGATGTTCACCAGCCTCCTTAGCCTCATTGTATCGTCGGATGATTTCCTCGTCACTGATTCCCTTCCGAGAATCCTCGTAATTAACACCGATAATAGCCCTGCCATCGTACTGCCTAGGAAAGAAATCGGTTGATTGGAATACGTCGTGTCGGATGGACTTGATGGTCGAGACTCCGCCATCACTCATCAATAAAATGGTCTGTTTAATCTCAGACGGCGCAGGACATTCCAACGTTGCCACAAACTAGACCTGATTAACAAGGATCCATATATATGAAAAGAAGAAAGACTTACTCTTGTACCCATGACAATACCATCGGCACCTATATCTGTCAATCAGCTGTAACAACCAAGTATGGAACAACCTACCTAGACCGAGAGCAGCAACACAGCCCCTCTCATCCACAATTCCACCAGCTGCCAGGATAGCAGTTGTTGTATTCTGAGCGTTTGACAGAAGATCTCGCACCTCAGGCAAGAGGGATATCAAACTAGCACCTTGGGCCCACTGATGCCCTCCTGCATCGGTTCCTTGGATCACCAGAACATCCACCCCCTGCTGAAGCGCTTCCTCTGCAGCTTTGATAGTTCCTACCTGGACAAATATCCTGATATTCCAGTCAGAACCCTCCTGGGCGGTCCGAATGGCTTGTATGATCGGAAGATGATCAGTGTCAGCCCGAGGGAAGGATAGCCAGACTGCCGCTACCCGATGCTTCTGAAGTATGGGAATGGCATTGTCAATAAATCCATCTGGCCGAAAAGTAATGAAACCGACACCAAGCGGTAATGGTTGATCATCGATCAAACCAAGGGTAGAACGGCTCTTTGCCAATTGAGTATCGAGGCTCTGAAGCTGAGTAGATTCAGATCGGAAATCAAAGCCTCCGCCAATGAATCCTGTAGATGGTCAGTAGAATGTTTGTAACTAAGTTGTGCTATCATACCGAATCCTCCGGCCTTTGTGACAGCAGTTGCTAGGCCGACATCGGCAAATCCAAACATCGGTGCATTAGCAATGAATGGAGCAGTTGTATGAGGAAACCATTGTAGGATGTTTGCCATTGTAAGAGGTGGTATGAGAAAGGGAACAGTCTTACTATGTAAGATGCGGGGGAATATATGAGACTTAAATACCTATGGATGTTACGCTAAGAGTCCGATTCTATAAATAATTTATACCTAAAATGGAATAATAATAAAAATGAGATTATAACATTTTCTAATTAAATAGCCCTCTAGTTAAAATAAAGCAGAGAAATAAGAATGCCACTGTTGGCTCATAATAGTTAAAGAGAGCTCAACCCACATCAACCAGTTTCCTGGTCTAGCGGTTATGATTTTCCGTTAACAATTGCTTTAAGCAAGTGTTCCGGAAAGGTTCTGGGTTCGATTCCCAGGGAAACTATTCTTTTTGTTCTTAAAGAGGTTTTTTTTTTTTTTTTTTTCATTTGGTGGAGATTGCGGTTGAAGGTGGGTTGTGGGTTAGGGTGGCGTTGATATAGTGGGCCAACGGGTATACATGTTTGAAGAAAAACGGTATGAGTTGAATATGAAGGGAAACATATAACAAGAGAATACAGGTCCAATTATATTCGACATAGACACACATATTACATTTAGAGTATATAGCTTCTGGCTCTATAGTTTCGCACGGAATGCGCGCCGCAAGGCATCCAGACCAGTAGGACCATCATAGATCTGTTGCTCAGTAACGCGGGTATTGATCTAGAAGAAAGGGTTAGTAGACCAAAAGAGTAGGTGACAAGAAGATACTTACATGTTGGAGCCCTAATTGATCAATCCGCTCAACTCCAAGCAGCCGCATACATGTCTTGATTTCATCGTTCAGAACTACCACAGAGTTAGAATCAGAATCAGAACATTACCCGGTCAACTTACTCTGCAATGTTCGACGGACACCGTCGACTCCACCCGCTGCTAAGCCCCACAGAGCCGGGCGTCCAAGGCCAACTGCCTTCGCGCCTAGGCAGAGAGCCTTAACGACATCTGTACCACGACGAATACCACCATCCACATACACTTCGATCTTATCGAAGACCTCGGGGCAATATTTCCGAATCTCCAAGAGAGTATGAACAGCTGGAGGGGCAGTGTCCGCGGCGCGTCCACCGTGATTAGAAAGAATGATGCCTTTAACTTGAGGTGCGTGGAGTGAGGCGAGATATGCATCTTCATGAGTCTGCAGACCCTTCAAGACAATAGGCAGATTTGTCTGAGTGGCCAGCCAAGCCAAAGTCTCCGTCCATGTCAGAGAGGGATCAGTGCCGGCGAACAGTTGCTGGCCGACACCTCCAGCTCCTTGGGTTGGGTTGGGGGTATCATCCGACGAGCGTTCGGCGGCTTTCACGCCGCTGGGCACGGCAGCGGTCCGTCCGGTCATACCAGCTCGCTCATCCTCCTCACGTTTCCCTGGAACCGGGGCGTCGAGGGTAAGAACAATGAACTTGATCGCCTTGAGCTTGTTGATGCGTGCAAGCATCGTCTCACTCTTCTTGCGGTCAACCTGAACATAAAGCTGCCAGCCAAAGATTTGATCCGGAGCAGCATCTTTGACAATCTGCTCTGGTGTCATGGAAGCGTTATTGGAGATGATTTGCATGGCCCCAAAGCTACGACACGCTTCTGCGATGCCGGCCTCACCGGACGGGTGACCTAGACGGGCCATCGCCGCGGGAGACACATAAATAGGCGTTTCCAGTTTATGGTTGAGGACTGTTGTATTCAGCTCACACTTTGTGCAATCCACAAAGACCCTCGGTCGCAAGAGAATGGACCGGTAAACCTCATTATTGAAGCTTTTGCTGATTTTGTCGTCGGAGGCGGAGTAATAGTACGCCCATGCCTTTTTGCTTACTTGCTTAGTAGCCACCTCCTCAATCTCGTCCAAGTTGAGAAGATTTTCCATAGGCGGTGGACCCTCAATCTCTTCCTGAGGTTCGGAGGATGTTTCCTCCTTTGGCAATGTGCTGGCATCGATTGTTCCTAAGCATGCCTCGGGCTTAAGCCCCTCTTCTAATGTGCCTGGTGGGTGAATAGGATCATATTCCTCGGTGGCATCCTGACCCGCAAGTTTCAAAATGATCTTTGCACCTCCAGGATGGCTGCTCAGGAAATCGGTGACCTAGATAAGAGTCAGACGCCGGAGAAGATATATATATACACAGCGAGGGGCTTATAGCATGAAAGCGTACATCATAGACCTTGCCGTATAGAACTACCCAACAACTTTCAGGGGTGTTGTGCTTTGCGACTATTTCTTCAGTCAGTTGAGTATCCCGCGTGGGGGTGCGGAGAATACATACCTTCTGTCGCATCGAATACTTTGGCCATTCTCCCGGAGCAAGAGTAGATTGAGTGGTAGTGGGTATAGAGAGGTCTATACGGAGTAAACTAGATAGAGAGAGCTAGAGATATAGAGAGTAAAATGGGAAAGGAAAGGTGAAAGAAGTGAATTGGAGATAGGAAGAGTGTGGGGAACGTCGGTAGCCGCTTTTTCCTTGTTGGGGAATTTTGGATTGCCGACCGAGAGAGGATTGGAATTGAATCTATATTATTGGTGGAAAATATGGAATTATAAATATGTAAAGAGAGAAATGAAGTACAACATACAAGTATACGGAATATTATAATTGTATATAAATAGTTGTACCTTGAAGATCAAAAGAGTCCACGTGAGGGCTTGTTACCCGTCTTCCCCCCTCTCCAACACTTCGGGACTTCACTCTCTCACGGAACCCAAATTCCTAAGAAGTCCGATTCTTATAATATTTTTTGAACTTCGCAACCATGTTTGAGGTGTGTTTAGTTTACCTATTCTTCGACCTCACTATGTAGTCTACTGTCTAACAGGTCTCAGCGTCGTGCAGGGGATCGTTATCGCCTTCGAATGCACCGAGCCCGCTCGGCAGTGCTGACCTCAGATGAAATGGTTGAGGTTCGCGCGGCTCAACGCACCTTTGAAGGCGCCTATGTCCGAACCGCTCTTTCTCAATTCTCCTTCGCCCTCGTCGTACTCAAGATTTTTACCGCCGAGTTCTACAGTATCGGAGCTCTGTTTGCGATATATGGCACGGGTGTTCTCATAATCGGACTTTTCCGTCGCTCGCAGGGAAACAGACAGTTCTTCTCCGAAGTAGGGGAGGATGGAATCCATCGGCATAAATTCCGTACCAGTGGAAATGCTGTCTTGGTCTTGACAGCACTGAGTATTGCGGCATATGCATGCTTGATTGGCTTGACCTTGAACTTGAGCAACTGATAAGAAACATTGCGAACCATTCACACCGTATCCAATATCCCTAGAAGCTATCTAGGCATGTTATCTGTGATACCCCCCTTGCGTTACCGCCAAGCGCCAAGGATTCCACACCTGACCATGGGATATGAGGGCCATTTCAAGGCTTATGGTAGCGGAGATCAAGTGTGTGTCGCAACGGACGCTTACAGTTGGTCGGAGATAATCTGTGAAAGTTGCCAAGGATGGCCGAGTATGGATCAACCCGGTGAGATTCAAAGATGTTCTAGTCATCATGTTGAATCCACTGCTTAGTTCGATTCCAAAGGGTATGTTGATATCTGGAATCAACTGAGCCTAGAGTATAGGAAACCACGACTATGAGCATTCTGGTGAATTATGAGAGTATACCTGGATGTGAACATGTTTTGTATAGAAGTATGCATTTAGCCAAGCATTCTCTAGGATATGATTTTGTGAGACTCATCTATAACAGTTTAGAATCGAGATCTGTATATATATATATATCTGATATCCTAAATCCCATTTCTCTTGTATATACCATTTGACATCATAGGCGATCTTTTTTAGCCCATATCCACACTAAGACCTCTGAACCTGATTTCATCCTTTCAAAGCATTTAAGTCACGTCCTTGAGCTTGATATTGTCCCTTATTTTCTTTTTCATAAGAAATAAAATATCCTCACAGAAAAGAACCCCCTTGATCTCAGGTCACAAGTTGTCCCCGTTCCCGGTTGACTCATCCAAACATCCGACACTTTCTTTTCTCTTCCCCCTCATCATTTTTTTTTTCCTCTTCGAGTTGCCCACAGTCCTTTGTTCAACTCAAGTCTGAGTGAAAAGCTCTGAAGAAGAGCAACACCTTTTTTTTTTCTAAATCAAAGACACACAAGAATAATCCCCTCGGGGGATGGCGCAACATTCTAGCATTGCCCGGTCGGCCATGACGTCGGCTTCTGAGACGGATCAGAAGAATAATAAGAACGGCACAAATGATTCGGGATCGGGAAAAGAAGGAGCTCTTATGCCTCCGAAAACTGTGGTCAACCGAGCGCTAGGTAATGACCTGCATTCCGATTCCCACAAATCTTCACTGCCGCCTAAGGGCGGAGTCGGAACGGCTTTGACAGACACTCCGGTTTCTACCGCACCTCCGTCTCCACAGATGTGAGTCTTAATCCTTTATTTTTTTGTCTAGAACCTTTTGGACTCCCCTAGATCAGAATGAGGCTTGATCGACTTGAGACAGGGTCCAGTTTCGAGGCTCTTTGAAGCCTTATTCTAGGCTTATCTACCTTACCCCGGCCTACCCCTTTTGTTTTTACCTTGGCTGTCTTGTGACTAGCTTGCATGCTCTTGGCAAGCTGTGACTAATATGATCCTCGTAGATCGGGCCTTTATCACCCTCCTGGGACTCCCAGTCGAGTGCGAGCAACTACTCTCGATATCCCCGGATTGACCAAATCCAAGGTGTCCCCAGATGGCCGTATTGCCCAGCGAGATGTTGGTGCAAAGCTTGTCATTGTCATGGTCGGTCTCCCGGCTCGAGGCAAAAGTTATATCACCAAGAAACTGGCCCGCTACTTGAACTGGCTCCAACATGACACCGAAATCTTCAATGTTGGACAGCGTCGTCGTGTGGCCGCTGGAAAGTCCCCATCACCTGCTCCGCTTGATCGCCAGGGTCGGAAACCAAGTAGTTTTCACAAGGATCTTGTTGACTCAGTGCGCCGGTTGAGTGTCAGCGTTGGCACCACTTTGAACCCACCAGATGTCTCCCCACC